TCTCTCTCTCTCTCTCTCTCTCTCTCTCTCTCTCTCTCTCTCTCTCTCTCTCTCGTTCGTTCGTCTGTCTTTTACACGAGGATTTAACTCCCACAAAGTTGAGTATTGCTCCTTTTAAGCTTTTCCTTTTGCGATTTTGTATGTTATCATGCTCCCCTCCCATTGCGTTTCATGGTGTTTCATGGGAAGTACAGTTTCGACGTTCTTCGGTTCATAAGTGTTCGATTTGTTCATGTTTTTGTCGTCTTGAATGCAACGACATGTGTGTCATTTTGCTCTGCAACTCCTGTTTGAGACCCCATGTTGCCTGCCTCCCTCAGAGGGTCAACCCACTGCCTCCTCGCAACCCTGAACAAGCTTGTGTTTGTGTTGCTCGACCTATCCTGTGTAGCTCGACCGCTTCAAGACTCCCCTTCCCCGTGCTGCGCGCTCTGGGGCATGGTGGTTAAGCTTCGTGCAACTATGAACGAGGCACCGTCGTGCGGCTATGGCTAAACCCTAAGACTGTGCCGTTCGCGTCACGAGAGCAGAGCGCTACGATGTCGGTTACCCGTTTCTTCCTCCCTCCCCCAATCGGCAACTGTTTTTTTTATGTAAATAAGTTTTAAGTTTTTTCGTTTTTCTTATATTTTATTTTAAATTTTTTTTTTTGCTTCTTTTCTTTTTTTATCCACCTCCACTTGTTGGTACCACCATGAAAGGTTGCGCCCATTCATTTAACAACGGGCAACAGTCTACTATTCAACACCTGAATCATGAGTTTGAGTGGCGCCTGATACAGACCCGAATAGCATGTGGGAGTAAAGGGGGGAGAAACCATTTTAAGTTTGACTCTAGTTTGATACTGTGAAATGATGGGAAGGCTGGCTGACCGTTTGTCTGAAACGACGAGCCGCCTCCCCTCCCAACAAGGAAATGAGGGGGGATTACAAAAAAAAAAAAGAAAAAAAAAGAGGGAAAAAAGAAAAGAAATGGTCACTTATAGGGCCGTGGTAGTGGCTAGGTAAGTGTGTGCAGGTGTGTGAGTGTAAAAAAGGCTGAATCTATTCATTTTTTGAACAATTTCATTAATGGCTGATTACAACCTTTCCTTGAAGCATGAGACCTGATGGGAAGGCCAAACGCTTCAGGGATTGAATGATCTTGGTTCCCCTAAGAGAACATCAAGGTTTGTGGTCCTTGATCGTGGACTCAGATCAAGGGTCCGGACCAGTTACAATTTTTTGACTTGTGCAAAGTTGTTGCCCACAGTCTTCTACTGGCTATAAAAACCAGCAACACCCACACTTGCCTCACAGTTCTTGAGACTGTGATGCTGCTTACTTTCACTTTGAGTGCAGATGTTCCATCAAATTGTGAGAGGCAGTGTTGTTGGTGTAGGGGTTGTTGGAGGAGGAAGTGGAGGTCTACAAGAGTGGAGAGTGGGGGAAGGGCAGTCATAGAAGGAGGTTGGGAGCTCACTGCCCCACGCCTGCGTTGGTGCCACAACCGGAGGTTGGAAGCAGTGGACAATGACCACTGTTTTGTTCTATTGAAGTAAAAGGCAAAGGAATATAGAATTAAACCTGTAATGTACGGGTGAAATAATTCTTTGATAGATCTAATGACCCCGTTTTACCGGTATAAACCCAAGATAGGTGTCAAAATCCAACGCTAAACATTAAGAAAGAAGTCAGGAGTGATGGTAGAGGGCAAATTTCACAAACAAGTGGGTGTGCAACGAGAATCCCCGGATTTCAAAAATATTTGGAGAGCGCTGAAGAAACTCCCTACCTAAAAGCATGCAGGTATCCTGTGGTGACAAGCTATGCAAGTAATTACTACGACGATCTGGTTTGAATCGAAAGGTATGCCTTTGGATACTACATGTCAGAGGTGTGAGTGGGGCTGGGAAACTAGCACCTACATGTGGTTAAATTGCCCTTCATCCTCCGAACTATGGAGGTGGTAGAAATTTCATTGGTACAACGTGATGAGAAACGAGTTGGAATGGATTGGTGATTGGATCCTCCATGCACTAACCTCCAAGAAAGTCTCGCTTAGTACAAATGGATGGGGACACGTGTCTTTTGTTTGCCATGGAGCAGTAATGAATATAATATGGAAAGCAAGGAATGCTAAGGTCTTTAAGGGTGAGACTATTTCATTACAACAACAAATGACATTCGTGAAAGAGCAGATCAGACTAGCCATACGAGCGGATTGAAGATCATCAAGGGGCCGTCTTGGGAGGAAAGCCCAATGGTTCAGGGGTTTATGGGCGAAGAAAAACGTTTGGGCATCCATTTCTTCAGAAAAAGTACTGTTGATATCCAAATGGTTACTGCCAGACAAGAGAATAAACTAAATGGTCATTTTAGATCGTGAGCAATGTGCTTCCTTCAACATTTTTATGTCCTATAAGACTATTTTTTCAAATGAGATCTATAGAAGAAAGCGAGGACACTGAACCTGGTTTTCAGCTTAGTCCAATAGCATACCGTCTACCGCGTGGGCGCGGGGAACACAACCCTAACGTAGTCAAAGCAATGAGAGAGAAAGAAAGAGAGAAAAAAAAAAAAAAAAAGAGTTTTGTTCCATTTATTGATATGAGTGCGAGAGAGAGACAAAGAGTAAGAGAGAGAACGAAAGAGAGATAAAGAGAGAGGAGGGGGGGATGGGCTAGAGAGAGAGAGAGAGAGAGAGAGAGAGAGAGAGGCTGAACGACAAAATTGAAATATGGGTCAAATTGCAGCCGCAATCTATATCACGGTTGGAATGATTTTTTTAATTTTATTTAGCGTTTTTCTTGGAAAGATCACAACAAAATCTATGAATACTCCAATTGTCATATTTTTTCACGCATTTTTCTGAGCACGAAAACTCACTGAATTTGGAGTACTTTTTCAGTTGGCCCACACATGGCTAAGTGACAAAAATGGACATGTGCTGAATCGGCGCGACGATTATTTTGCGGTCAAATGATTTTTTGAAAATGTTATAATATTTTTCCTGGAAAGAACACGACCTCATCTATGGATTCTCAAAATTTCAGATTTTTCTGCGGGTTCCTCCGGCTACAGAAAATTGCCAAAATGGTCTCTTGCAAAACGCCTGTTTGGTTGTGCGTGACCTCCCTGTTTTGAGAAGACGGGCCTCAACGCCTGGGCTTGGGGGCCCTTTTGCAGTTCACATGCCCTCACTTCTTTTTGGGGTCCGCTTCCACCTGAGGACCGGTCCTTCCTTTTTCTAAAAGTCCCGGTTCTACTAGAGCTAGCTGTAGGTAGTCCGTAATTTTGCCAAGGACCGGTCTCCCAATTTTTTTTGCCCCCTAAGAACCCACTCTGTGTCCTGGTCGCCCGCCGCCGAAAATGCGACAGCTTGTCAGTTTTTCTTGCGTATCTGGGTGAAGGCCCCAGTCCTCCCGGTTGTTTGTTGAGGATTCCCGGCCTCTACCTCACTGAGTAATAAAAGTTTTCAACTTGTCCCAAAAAAAAAAAAAGAAAAAAAAAGAAAAAAAATAAAAAAAAGAAAAAAAAGAAAAAAAAAAGAAAGTAAATCCATGCTATCTTAGCACGGACACATAGAGGCAGAGGGGTGCGGGGCTCGGGTTCGCTTGGTTTCTTGTGCGCTGGGTTCGGCACAGGGGTTTATCTTCTCTGTGTCGGGGCACGGTTTTAGGTTCGGGTTTGGCCTTTTTCGGTTCGGTTAGTGGCTTGCGGAGTACCCCGGTTCTTTTTTCGGGTCTTGGATTGAGCTGGCTCGGATAAGGGGGGAGCGCTCCACCGTCATCAGTGAGGCGTACTCCGGGCACAAGGTTTTGGGGTGCTCGGCCGGGACAACCACCTTCGGCATTCTTGTAGGTTGGCGCGTGTCCGCCTGCCTGCTTGCTACAATAGTGCGCGGAGCGCGAGTGTGGGCGCGATTATTGCCATCATCCGCAAATCATGGAAATGATCAGAAAATTGTCTGTGGAGTGAGCGGGTGAATGGTTCTTTTGGCGCTCATAACCGATGCGCGGGTGAACGCGGCGAAGGCTGGAATTCGATTTTCATTTCGTTATTTCTTCCCCAGACTCTCCTCCGGCTGGGATACACTATCGATAGAAGAAGAGGAGAAGAGAAGCAAGCGAGACAACGAGGGGAGAGAGGAGACAGTTGGTCGGTCTGTGTTGGGACCCGGATCCGCTCGATAGCTAACTTAACCGACGTGGTCGACCAGTCGGATGTTTGTGTCTCATAGTCGGGTGCCTGTGTGTACCCGTTCTTTTCATCACGACATTCAGACCACGAGAAGACTGTTAAATGCAAATTCGGGTCTTTTTTTTTTTTTTTTTTTTTTTTTTTTTTTTTNTTTTTTTTTTTTTTTTGTTAGAGGAAGGGTCTCTTGCTTTGGCTCTCTCTCTCGCTCCTACCTCCGTCTCCGTCTTCTGCGGTCCCGGCCTCCCATTAGGTTCTTGACAGCAGTCGTTTTTGGGATGATAATGGGTCGTTTCAGCTGTTCTTGATCCGAGCGACCTCTTGTTTGCCAGTGGCCTAGTTCATCGTGGATATGGACGTGGCATTAGCGCCAATTCCATCGACCTAGTCTTTAGCCATTATTGCTTTGCACGCCATGGACACATCCAAATCTCAATCCATTGCGTTCGTCCTCTGCGAGCCTGGTCTATGAACGAGAGGGAGGGCTCCCGTCTTCCTCCCCTGGAGGTTGCTCTGCCTTCAGCGGTTTCCATGTGGGAGGGCGGCATTATCGGTCCACACGTGCCGGTTTTACAGACGTTGGTAGCGAGTGCTGTTGTTGCTCTTCAGGTGCTACCGCACGGCAGTTGGCGACTTGGCATTTCGGGCCTTTGCCTTGTTGCATTTCTTCCCGTCGGTACCGCGATCGCTAAATGTTTGCCGCTTGATGATGCTGACGTGGCTTTTATCTCCGTTTCGATCGGATTCGCAAGCGTCTCGTCGGTCGATGACGGGTGTCCTGTGCTCGGAGGGGACTGCTGCTGATGTGGTACCGCCTCCTACTCGTCTGTGGTGGGCACTGATACCGCCGTTCTCAGTATGAGGGATGCAGGAGGGGAAAGCTAGGACGACAGAGTGAAATAACGGGCGTGCTGTGAGGAGGAGAGGAAAGAGGGACGATTGGACAGAGAGAAGTCTCAGACGGTTATGTGGGGAGAAGGCTGCAAGCAAGGGAAAGGCGGGGGAGGAAGCGTGCAACATATGAACGGGTAGGAAGAGCGGGACATGGTTGTAGGGGGAAAGGGGTTAAAGGAGACGGTGAAGAGACGAAGAGCGGCGAGGGCGATTAGAAGAAGGGAGGAGGTATGCGGTCGTTGAGAGGGAAGAAGAGGGGGGAGAAAAGGGGGGTGAGAGGAGAAGCGCCCAACTGGTGAGTAGAGAGGAGAGGGGGGGGGATGAACAAATTCGTTAAATGAGGAGGAAGGGGGTGTAAATGGGTTTGGCAACGAATTTGGAGGTGAATCAGGCGAAAAAGCAGACAAAAGAAAGAACTACAAACGAGAGGAGGCGGCAAGGAGGGTGGGCGGAGCGGGAGGAGGGGGAGAGCGAGTAGGAGGGGAAGCGGGAGGAGGGGGAGAGCGAGGAGGGGAAGCGGGAGGAGGGGGAGAGCGAGTAGGAGGGGAAGAGAGAGTAGGAGGGGAAGCGAGAGGAGGCGGAGAGCGTGTAGGAGGGGAGGGGAAATAGATTGTCAAAGTTGGCTAGCTGGCCGGATTGTGCGGCGCTATACACTCGATTCATCAGTCGCACAGTACGTGCTGCTCACTCCTTCACGCATCCGGGTGATCATTTTATCTTTTCGCTCGTTCGTCACAATGGTCGGGTTCAAGCTGCCTGCCTCTTCGGGGAATATAGCAAATGTAGCCACCGCTTTTGCTATCGGCATTGGGGTAGCTGCTGTAGCTGGTGTGGCTGTTGCTGCAGCGGTTGGGGGCTTCATTCTATTACAGCAGGGGTAAGTAAACTGTGAGCGCATCCATCCTTTCTCTCCTCCTCTCTCACTTCTCTCTCTCTCTCTCTGTGTCTCTCGTGCTCTCTCTCCTGCTTCCTGTTTCCATAGCGCACATTGTCTACCCCATTGTTATCGACTTGCATTGTTTTCCTCCGTTTTGCGAGTTACAGTATCGTTCGTGCTTTCTGCATCATCATAATCCCTTCTACTGCATACATTGCCTCTTCGACGCGGCAGTTGGGACTCAGATCGGAGAGTATATACAGTATGTGGCGAGGACTGCTACGTTGGTGCGTGTGGATTTCTTCCTCTCCTTTGGTTGTCGTCAACAGGCAACGTCTTCGCTTCTGTCGACTGCTGTCGCAGCAGATTGCTTGGCAGACCGAGTCCATCGCGTGCACCGCCATCGCTCTCACCGAATCCATCACTCATTCTCCATCAGCGGCGGCGTTGTACGATTTCTGCTGATGTTCTTTTTCTTCTTTTTATTCTTGTTCTTGTGTTCTTCTTCTTCTGCTTTTTCCTGATCCTCTGTTTCACTTTGTGTGTGTGTGTGTGTGTGTGTGTGTGTGTGTGCTGTCTCTTATACACATCTAGATGTGTATAAGAGACAGGATGTACAGTTGGCGCACTCGGCCGGAGCGGCGAAGGGTCGACG